TATTGTTATAAACAAATATTATTTATATTTATATATTTGATATCTTTTCGTTATTGAAAATAATTTAACGCGTTTGAATTGTTATATTAAATTTGTAGGATGGGTTAAAAGTTTTTTTTAAACAATTTGAAAAAAAAGATTTATATCAAAACAACTCAAACTGTAAACTTAATTAATTAAGCTTATAAAACTTTCGAGAAAATAATGTAATCGAGTTTGTAAAATTATTTTAAAACTTTGAAATCCATTCTTACGTTCAAATATGTTTGAATACATTTAAATGTTGAATGGATTTATATAAAAATGGATTATAATAGTTTAATATTTGATTTTCGTTTAAAATGAAAAACAATAAGACGCGATCGGTGAAGAAATTAAGCGAAAGTATTAAAGATATTATTTAAAAAGTTTATTTAGTTTTTTTTCTTTCTTTTTCTTTTTTCGGATAGAACAAATGTGCTCGGATCTGGCTTCGACGAAAGATGATATTGAGTTTTCTGCGAGAAAGATGTTGGATAGCTAGTTTCTCTGAAAGAGTAATCAAAGACTGAAGAAGAAAGAAGAAAAAGAAGATCTATTTAATTGTCACTCGCAAACACTTTAACCGGTTGACGATACTTTTTTAAGTACGTTGTTTTCAAAAGAAAATTTAAACAACAATTTTAACAAAATAATAATCATTTTCCAACGTACATCATTCCATCCTCTTGGTTCTTGTTTTTTTCTTCTTCCTCGTGCAATTTCTTTTCTTTTTTTTTTATACATTGATAAAAGTCATTCCAACAAAAAGTGACGTGTAGTTTCTAAGGGAAAGAAACAAAAAAGAAATGATTTAAAAAAATTAACATGTAAACTGACACGATTTTTAAATATGTTTCTTTTTCCTATAAGTAATTGAAACTGAAAGAATTAGATGTGAAAGTTACACGTCAAACCTGTGTACTACCTGTACACACGTTGGTTTTTTGTTATCGTTGTTGTTGTTGTTACGTGTTAGGGAGTGAAGTTAGTTGATTTGTAACGAGAGATAAAAGAGTAACAGAAAAAAAAAGGAAAAAGAAAGAGAGATTGGGGGAGGAAAAGAAGGGAAAGGAAGAAAGGAAAAAAATAGTATCATCATCGTCGTCACCGGTTAAAGGTGAAAAGGGAAAAGAGAGGGTGGCTGTGAGTAAAGCGTCGAAGTGGACGCCATAATATGTCAGGGTAACTTTAGGATAAACTTTAGTACTTTCGAGCTACTTCCAACGAATGGTGTCTCATTCTGAGCGTAGATAGTTTTTAACGTTCTCCTTTCTAAGTTTTATCGAGGAAAAATAAAACAAAATAATGTAACTATCATCCCCCTGCCCCTGCCCCTGCCCCTGCCCCTGCCCCTGCACCCTGCCTCCTATAAAAAAAAGGAGAAGAAGAGGAGATAGAAAGAAAGATAAACATTGAACGAAGAAAAAAAATTAATTCAAAAAGTGCAACAAGATATATAATAATATGATGTATTAAATTTGTGTTACTAAATGTAGCGCCACATATCGAGACAACGAAAAATATCACCACGTCCCTCCCCCCTTAGGAGAAAAAATGGGGAGAAAAGAAATAACAATGAACGACAAAATTAATTCACGTGCACAACAAGATATAATTTATCGAAAATATTTCTTTTTTATTTTATTTTAAATTATTTATGTCTTTCTTTTTTTTTCTTTTTGTTTTTTTATCTAATTGTAATAGTAGCCACTTCTAGGTCAAAGGTTATCGGCAAAAAAAAAAGAAAAATATCTTTGTATATCTCTCGGGGTTATGTACATAATAATTATGATTTTTAACGACGACAAATTTCTATATTTCTCGACGCTTACATTCCAACAAATTCCCAGACCCCTTCTACTCGAAAACAACCCAAAAAAAAAAAAAAAGAAAAATGAAAAAAAATCGTTCTTCCTTATATCGTCGTCGTAATCGTCATCGTCGTCGTCGTCGTCGTCGTTGTGTTATTGTATTATTGTTAAAATGAACAATATAATTACGTTCGTTGAATCAAATGAAAAAAAAGAAAATCTCTTGTATATTTTGCTGACGCGTATGAAAAAAAAGTTCGTCGCAATGATCAATATTAAATCATGCAAAATACCCCCATCCACCCCCACTCCCTCCCCCTTTCGATATAATATTATAATTATTATTAACGAAAAAAAATATAGATAATGTATACGTAGAGAATTTTTGTCGATGTGCGATTGTAAGGATATATATATATATATATAAAAAAAATATAGATAATGTATACGTAGAGAATTTTTGTCGATGTGCGATTGTAAGGATATATATATATATATATATAAAAAAAAAGCAAATATTTTCAATGAATGCTTGTAAAACTCTTTGAGAGTAAACGACGATAAAAAAAAAAGAAAAGAAAAAAAAATAAAAAGAAGAAGAAGATGAAGATGAGATATACACTTTGGTATGTATATATACATATATAAATATAAGTATAATAATTGCGTATAGATATATACGAAATATTGATCGAGAATTATGGTGAATTTTGTATGTCTTTTTTGTTATTCTTTTAATTTTTACACGATTCTATTTGATATTTATAAAATGTTATTTTCATTATTAGAATTAATATTTTCAACTATTATATATATATATATCGAGCTGGATATATTTATTGCGAAAAACAAAAAAAGATAAAATATTTGTTTAGAAATTAAATAGAATGGATGCGGTAAAAAATTTATTTTATTTGGTGATTTTTCAAAATGAATTATTACGTTTCTCGAAGAACTTTCTAACCTCGTAATTAAGCTTCTAATTTTACAATATTAATTATCAAGTTTTACGATCTTAAAATTAAGACGATTAGTCGAAACGTTGTAAGAAAGAATAATTGATTTTTAAAATCACCTAAAAAGTTTTGACCATCTCTTTTGTAATAAAATGAGTTATCTCGAAAGATAAAATGAGAGAGAGAAAGAGAGAGAGACAGGGAGAGAAACAGAGGAGGGAATAAAAAGGGAAGAAAAAAAGAGAAAAAAAAAGAAACTTTGTTCTACGTGCTTTTAGTGCTTTTGCTTATGGACCGAAGAAAGGTGGAGCAAAAAATGAGCATCTCTTTCTCTCTCTCTCTCTCAAGTTTTCATATATTAAATTAATAAGAAGATACATATACATACATACATAGAAGGTACGCATCGTCGTCGTTGTCAAATATTCAGTCTATGTATACCTCGCATAATGTTCATCTAAAATGTTTAAAAATCGACACAATGCCTTATGATTTATTATGCATAGGCCTATACATATATATACATATACATATTAGCCTTTGTACATACTATACATACATACATATATAAAAATTATGCATCATCTCATAATAATACATATTATACGAGTGCATTGATTTCGAATGATATTTATTTTCTAATTAGCACGAGAACGATTTTTTTTTTGTTATTACATATCTTCGTTTTTTGTTTTTTTTAATTAAAAAATTTATATACAATTAAAATATATTTCTTCGAGCTGAATTTCTCGCGACGTGTGTGATTTGTATAAACGATAAAAGTATATAAAAGTATAATCAGTGGCTTCCTGCTAGCGTAGTATAATTATGCGAACATGTTGATTTTGTTTATAGTAGATATTATAACAAATTGTTGATATGAAAAATGAAAAAAGTGTTGGAGATAATCTGTGCTTTTTAAAAACAAAACAAAAAAATATATATATATATTTATATATATATGTGCATATATTTTCTATGAGTTGGAATCTTTTTTGTAAAAACGAAAAGAAAAAATTGAATTAACCAAAATTAGCTCTTGTATCGTTTTAATATCTTTTTTATTCTTTAAATATCGTCGAGAACGTAGGAGAAAAAAAAGGAAAGATTACTCGAGAAATATAATTCGATTATTAAATCATGATTTCGGATGCGAATCGTTAAAAAAAAAACAATTTTCAATAAAAAAAAAAAAAAAAAAAGAATGAAAATATATCTGACACATACGTAAAATATATTATCATAATAATACATATCTATATATTATACGTGTAATTATATATCACATGCTTTTTTTTTGTTTGTCGTACTGTTCGAAAAGTAATTTCATTTATTTCAAATGGTTAATGAAAGACGATTTTTTTTTTCTATTTAGAAACAATGACATTTTAAATGATCGCAATAGATATATATATATTAATTCTTCATTTTTAATTTTTTGTTATCATTGTTGTTATTATTATTATTAATATCTATTACGTATGTTGCGAGATTTTACGAATAATTTAAAAAATATAATATAAAGAGCGATCAACATCAATAACTAAAATACAACAACAACGCGTAACACATTTTTCGTTGTAAAAAAAAATATATATATATATGGTATATATATATATATACATATACCATATATCAAATATATATATATTTGAACCACGTTCGGATGTAAACACTTTGACGTATAGGAACGATGATAGAGTATTAAAATAAAAATAAAAAAAGAAAAAAAAAAGAGAAAAAAGAAGAAAATTGAAAAAAAATAAAATAGGAAAAAAGAAAAGAGGAAACACAGAGGTTGTTATGCGTGAAATAATCTAATTTTTGTAAACGTAAAAAACTCTTTAGGTATAAACTGTGCGGGCGCAGTGTTCGTGTTAGTTTAGCAACGGCCATTATGTGTTATATGCGATATTTGCAGCAAACGAACGAACGAACGAACGAATGAATCAACCAACTGCTAAACGAAAATATTAAATACAAAAGAAATAAGAAATAAAATTTTAAAAAGCAAGCAAACAAACAAACACAATTATCGACACATTACGATAACTGTATCTCATTGACAATACGTGTTTATCATACTAAGCGTCGCTTGTACTCTGTAGCATCGTTAAAAAGATAAGAAAAGAAAAGAGAAGAATAAAAAATAAAAAAAGTGATAAGAGTTGTGTGTGTGTGTGTGTGGCTAAAATAAGAGAGAAATTCAAGATTTCACCTTCGTTATAGAAATCAACGTAATATCCTTTTCATTGTATTACAAAATAAAAATTAATTAATTAAAAAAAAATAATAATAAATATTAGCTAAAGTTGCATTTAAGAATAAAGGATGAAAAAAAGAGAGAGAGGGAGAGAGAGAGAGAGATAAGATTAATCAATATAGCGAAACACGTTAGCTGTTGTGCTAGTGGTAAAAGTATAGAAAACTTAGAACGCATACTTGGAAAGCCAATAATTCCTACGTGTCATATATAAAGTTCCTGAAACTGATAATCCGCTTATTTTCATTTAATACGATACATAATCGCACGGATATAACATAGAGATCCATTGTATTTGAAATCTCTTTTAATTAATATACGATCCTAGTTGAAGTTTTAAAAGATAAAGAAGTAAAAGATAGACAGAAAAAGAAGATTACAAATAAAAAGATATCTCTTTCTTTCTCTCTCTCTCTCTCTTTTTTTCTCTCTCTCTCTTTCTCTCTCTCTCTCTCTCTCTCCCTTTGTCTCCGTGTACGCACGAAAAACTTTGACAGATTAATCCAACGAACCAAATGATCCAAATTATTAATATCCACCCTCTTACCCTTCGCCATTTCGCCCTTATAAGAACAATCAAACTGAACTGTTATATATTATATTATCTATAATATATAAAAAATTGATAAAGTTTTGGATCGTTCGAGAGATTTCGAGGAATCTTAACGATCGTGTTTAGGGTGAAAAGAATTGATCGTTAAATTAGCGGATATTAGGAAGATTAGGGATGGTCGAGGAGGAGAATGAGAAGGAGGGGGAGAATAAGAAGGAAAACGATTAGCGAAAAGGACGACAAATTATAATGATAAATTCGGGTTTAAGAAACTATGAAGATCTTAGACGGTTCATAAATAAGCACAACTGTTCGAACAGCTGGCGCGCACGTAATTCGTCGTGAATTAATTTAAGGGGGGGGGGGGGTTGGCAGAGGGGGGAACGGTGGTGCTTTCTTTAGACGGGCGCACGGGCGCGCTACCACTTTCATTAAAGGTCTGCTGGCGCCATTTGGTGGCTCACTTTATGCTGATTTTATTTCCCTTCTTTCGCGAACTTGAGATCTGCGGTAATTGTGCGGTATTATTACCCGGAGAGAGGGGCATTATGGCCACGTGAAATATTGCCCGTCGAACGCGTAGTGCGCCTTCTGAAGAAGATTTCACGGTTCGCTGAAACTCTCCTTCCTTTCCTTTCCTTTCCTTTCCTTTCCTTTCCTTCCTTTGCTCTTCAATCGCCATCTTCTTATTTTTCTTCTTATTCCTCGTTTACCTCGCTATCTATCTCTTTTTCTTATTTTCTTTTTCTATCTTCCCGACTTTATTTTTTTCTTTTTAACCATCTCTCTCCCTCTTTAAATTACCAACACCACCACAGTTACTACAAAAGCTTCCTTCCTTTTCTACGACTTTCTATACTCGCGTACTGTTGTTTCAACTTCGGCACGAAATCATCCCCCAAGAAAACTTGTGCACGCCTGCACATCACTGACAGACTCTTCCTTCTTTACCTCGGATTTCTTCCTTTTCTTTATTCCTTCTTCTACCTTTACATTTCTTTTTCTTTTTCTTCTTCTTCTTTTTTTTCTTTCCATACCCCTCTTTCATCCTTATTCTTATTCTTATTCCTATTCTTATTCTTATTCTTATTCCTTTCCTTACTTTTGCTTGCCTTTCCTAACACCCAAATTACGTCGCTTTATTCCACTAGATTTATTCGAATATTATCCTATCGGTTTTTCCTTGTTTTCTTTTTTTTTTTATTTTTATTTTTTTGCTGTTTACTTCTCCCTCTTCTTCTTCTTCTTCTTAGGTATTTTCTAACTCACACCAAACTGTCTGTCCTTTTCCTTAAACTTAACGACCACACCAACGTAAACTCCTATCTTATTTATAATATGTGCGACAGCTGCATCGTCGGTGATTTTTTGGAAAAAATTCAGATTTGAAATTTTCATGTCTTTATGGGTACAAAAAAAAGTAGGTGAATTTATTTAACAAGGGGAGAGTCAAGTTGACACGTCACCGATGTTTTTTAAATTCTACACAATTGCACGAGTTCATCAGGACCATTCACTGTTCTTACAAGCAGTAAGACCCAATACCCGTTTCAAAAAAAAAAAAACAATGGAAAAAGTTTCACGTGCATTGTTATATATATATTAATTTGTTTCAGTTGAAAAAATAAATTTTCTACAGCTTTATAATTCTTCACACCGTGTTAAGCTCAAAATTTTTCCACCCTTCTCGTTTAGGCTGAAAACTTTTCAACCCATCGTTGTATATTAGGTTCAAAACTTTTCATCCTACACATACAGGTTTTTTTTTCTATATTTTCTTTTCTTTTTAATAAAACTGTACAAAATGTATTTTTTCACCTAACATAAAAAGAACTGAATATAAAATTGCATAAGAAACTCCCTTCATTTTCTTGAAAACAGTTGTTTATTAAGTTTTATTACTTGTACATTGTATGGTCCTAATGGACTCCTGCAATTGTGGAATTTAAAAAAAATCGCTAAGGAAAGTCAACTTGGCTCTTCCCTTGTAAAATAATCTCTCTCTCTCGCTCTCTCTTTCTCTCTCTCTCTCTCTCTCTCTCTCTCTCTCTCTCTCTCTCTCTCTTTTGTTCTTTTCTTTTATATTCGTTATATGTGATAAATTTTTTTAAATTGCCATTTTCCCTTTTTCTTCTTTATTTTGTCTTCTTTTTTTCTTCTTTACTATTCCACACAGAGATAGACACAATTTCAAAAGTTTACTGAGACTAATGTCTACTTTGATTACGCACGTAGATAATACTCTATGCAATAAATGTCAGACGTAATTGCGAACGGTCTATCATTAGAGATCACCGCCTTCATTTCAGATAGAAATTTAAATGCACAGTTTACGTGGTCGAGAATGATAATAGTTTATCTTTCATTGATTGAAAAAAATCATTTTGCGTAAAGTACTATTCTAGTCTTCTCCTTTACGAGTATCTGAAGAAAAAAATCTACGAATTATATTTTCGAAAAATATTTAAGTGTTATTGCAAACCTTGTTTTTATATATATATAAAATCAATTATTTATTTATATTATTAAAATCCCGCGAAATACAAAAAGCGATTTAAAAATTTGAAAAGTAGCGCCATCTTAGCTTGTAATCGATATAATAGCTTTTTGATTATTTAAAATCGATACTTCAGTTATTAAAACTCGTAATTCATAAATCGTATCGATATATCGAAAAATGACATCATTCATTATTTATGATCGTAATAATAAATAAAAATCATCAATTATATTATGTTCAAATAAAGTTTTAAACATAAGAGAAAGTATTCGTAAATTCGTAATTCGAAATTGTGTGTATCGAAAATCGATTATCGATAATTGCGATTTCGATATACTCCCGCTATTACTACGTTCATTGAGCGGGACGCCGTGTGTGTAGCCATTGTATTGTTTTAGATCGTATCGTCTAGTTTTTGTGATTCACGTGCAATAAAAGTGCATAGGAGAAATGTGAATTATTAAAAAATAAAAGGGGTCACAGGATAGATAAACAGGACAAAAATAATCGTAAGTTTTTGTGGTTGTTTTCACAGTATGGTTTATATTCATATTGAATAAAATAGGTTAAAACCTGCATTTTCTTAATTACAGTCATCGTGAGCCACACCCTGGCTTTGTCGATGCCAAACATTGAATTCTTGTCATTTTAATCACATCAGGTTCGACATTTATTTTTTTTAATATTCTAAAATAATCTTTTACATTTGTGCAGATTTTTACAAACCATTTATTTCTATAAATCTACATCTCAAACATTACATATTTCATTTTTTTAGGCTATAAAATGAAAATGCATAATAATTGGTTATTCCTTATTTTCTGCATCCTTGGAACTACGAATGTTGTATTAACACAAAATGGATTTTATAATGAAGAAAATCATAAGTGTCCTCAGAATTGGGTTAGGTTTCAAGAATCTTGTTATCGCTTCATTAAAAGTCCGATAAAGGCACGAGAAGATGCAAGAAGAAATTGTCAAGCTTATCAAAGTGATTTAGTAACGATTAATTCGTTGGAAGAGCATGGATTTATACTACATCAATTATTATGGCAAGATCCGCAGCATCGTCAATGGTATACAGGTATTAAATATCAAGGTGGTGCTTGGATAAACGAAGCAGACAATACGCAGTTAACTAACATGGATAATGCATTCTTACCTGAACCGGCTGATAATATTTTTGGAAAAGATTACTTGACATATTCTTATCACAATAATTTGCAACGTTGGGGATTCGAAAAAGTTACAGGGATAGACAAATTATTATATATTTGCGAAGCACCTATTTCTAATTTATATAATTTAGTCGAAGATGATCGTACTTATGAATACGGTGTTCATATTATTGATCCTTTAAAAGTTCCCAGAGGACCATATTTTATCAAGCAACCCGTCAGTACAGTATTCGACTTGTCGAATAGAAAAACGACCAATGAAGTTTCTTTGAGTTGTTTCGCTGGTGGTTACCCAACACCAACTTATGAGTGGTTCAAAGAGGAATATGAAAATGATAGATTAATAGCATCGAGGATTGATCCTTTATTAAACACTAGATATACCATAAGCGGTGGTACACTTATTATTTTTGACCCAGAACAAGTAAGATATTTCTTTTTTATCTTTTATATAAATTCTTATTTGTTAATACAAACAGTTTTATAGATTTATTAATGTAATAATTGAATTCTTATTACAGACAGAAGACCGAGGTACTTACCATTGCAAAGCAACCAATACGTTTGGCACTATTATATCAGAAAGCGTAGAACTTTCTTTCGGATATATCATGGAATTTAATTTGAAACGTTCGGAAGAACGAGGCGACCAAAATTGGGGCAAAGCAATTTATTGTGATCCGCCACAACATTTTCCGGGTGTTAAATATAATTGGGCACGTGAATATTTTCCAAATTTCGTGGAAGAAGATAAACGTGTATTTGTATCATACGACGGCGCTCTTTACTTTTCTGCGTTGGAAACAATCGATAGAGGCAATTATTCGTGTAACGTTCAAAGTGAAGCATCCAATACAGGACGCAATGGACCGTTCTTCCCGTTAAGAGTTGATCCACATTGTAATTATTTTTCATTCATTTGTTAAGTTTAATAAGTTTCCTAAGAAAATTAATTTTGTTAATTTTAAGAAAATTTTGTTTTTGTATTTGTAGCATCATTTCAACAATTAAAATTTCCTAATAACTTTCCAAAGGCGTTCCCAGAAGCACCTGTAGCTGGTGAAGAAGTCAGATTAGAGTGTATAGCGTTTGGATAGTATGTATAATTATTAATCAAACAATCTATTTTGTAGTTTATCAAAAATACTTATAAAATGAAATTATTTTTTAGCCCAATTCCTTCATATAATTGGACAAGAAGAGGTGGTTCCTTGCCAAGAGGCGTATACACAATGAGTTACAATCGTGTTTTGATAATACCATACGTACGTGTAGAGGATCAAGGAGAATATGTTTGTAGGGCACATAACGATAGGCACTCGATTGAAAATTCTGTAAGATTGTCTATCCAAGCTGCTCCCAATTTTACCATACCATTAATGGACAAACATATGGATAATAGAGGAGAGTTAACATGGACTTGCGAAGCTTTTGGTATTCCAGACGTAACATACAATTGGTTTAGAAATGGAGAATTATTAGATACGGATACTATTCCACCAGAAGATAGAGATCGTTATCTTATTCAAGACAATGTTTTAAAAATAACGCGACTAGATCCGGAAACAGATCAGGCTATGTATCAATGTCGTGCTAAAAATCAATTGAAAACTAAATATTCATCTGCTCAATTAAGAGTATTATGTAAGTTATCTTTTTAATTAAATTTTGAACAATTATTTCACAATATTATTCATTTTAATTCAATCTATAATGTTGCAGCATTAAAACCATCTTTCAAAAAAAGACCCATGGAACCAGAAACATATGCAGCAGAAGGAGGTAACGTTACCATAATTTGTGATCCCGAAGCTGCGCCAAGACCAAAATTTGTATGGAAAAAAGATGGTAATGTGATCGGTGCAGGTGGTAGGCGTAAAATTCTTAATAAAGGAAGTCTAGTGATCAAACCAGTGTCACGAGACGACGAAGGAACTTACGTTTGTACTGCTACGAATGAATATGGAAGTGATGAAACTCGAGGACGACTTATTGTATTACGTAAGAAACAAATTAATAAAATTATAAATTAAATTTTCATGCTAACATTTAATATATTTCATATTATAATCTTACAATCTCATAAAACGTATATTAATTTATTGTAAATATTGCAGGTAGTCCACGATTGGTAGAATCATTACCGCAGCGTATTATTATTGCTGTAAATCAAAATCAAACGTTGTACTGTTTAGCAGATAACGATGAAATGTTAGACGTTGCATATTTATGGACACACAACGGTATACGTATCAGGGAAAAAGATGTCCGTAACAATCCAAGGCTAAATATTAATGGTGGAACATTAAATATCATTAATGCGACTCTTGGCGAAGCTGGAGAATATGAATGCATAGTTAAAAGTACAGTGAGTAAAATTTCAAGTAAAACAATTGTAATTGTGGAAGGACCACCCGGTCCACCAGGAGGTGTACAAGTTGTCAATATAGTTAAAACATCAGCAACGTTGCGTTGGACCGATGGTGCACTAAACGGTAGACCAATATTGATGTATACCGTTAGTGCAAGAACAAATTGGAACCATACATGGTTTAATCTGATAGAAAGTATGTATAAAATGTCGATAAATTAATCACATTTATTTTATCAAACATTATATATTTTATTTTCTAAAATCTATGTGTATAATATTTTTTTTCACAGATATCACAGCTGTAGACGTTGATAGATACAACGGTCGTAAAGAAGCATTCATTAGAAACATATTAAATCCTTACACAACTTACGAATTTCGTATATCAGCTTTTAACGAACTAGGCTATGGATTACCATCAATGCCATCACCTCAATACAGCGCACCATCAGATAAACCTAGTAAACCACCAAGTAACATTGGTGGAGGAGGTGGAAAAATAGGAGATCTTACGATGACATGGACACCGTTACCCCCAGCTGATCAAAACGGTCCTGGAGTTCATTACCAAGTTTTCTGGCGTCGTAAGGGTCACGAAACCGAATTTCAATCTTTATTATTACGAGAACTTGGTAACATTGGTATATGTGTGGTACAAATTCAACATGAATATTATTATACCGAATACGAAATTAAAGTTCAATCATTAAATGCTATTGGTTCGGGACCAGTTTCTGAAATATATACGATCTATAGTGCTGAAGATATGCCGCAAGTAGCACCACAACAAGTAGTTGCTCATGGTTTCAACAGTACAAGTTTGAACGTTAGTTGGGCACCCATTGAACAAACTCGTTTAAAAGTTCGAGGTAAATTAATCGGTCATAGGATAAAGTATTGGAAGGAAAGTAATAAAGAAGAGGATGCCGTATATTACCTGTCTCGTACCACAAGACCATGGTCACTTGTCGTGGGATTACAACCTGATACTTACTATTACGTTAAAGTAATGGCCTATAATTCAGCCGGGGAAGGGCCCGAGAGTGAACGCTATTTAGAAAGAACTTATCGTAAAGCACCGCAGAAACCTCCCTCTTCTGTCCATGTTTATGGCGTTAATCCATCAACGGTTAGGGTTGTATGGCGTTACGTACAACCAAGCTTGGAAGAGGAACCATTAATAGGATACAAAATACGTGTATGGGAGGTCGATCAAGACATGAGTACTGCCAATGATACCATTATCCCTGGTGGTTCCAAACTCGAAGCTGATATCAATAATCTGAGCCCTGGCAAAGCTTACCATTTGAGAGTACTCGCATTTAGTAATGGTGGTGACGGACATATGTCCAGTCCTGCGCATACATTTCAAATGGGTGATGCCGCTGCTTTTCGAAGTAGTGCAGGAAATAAAATCCCAAATGCTAGTTTAGGCATATGCTTAATAATACTACTAAGAGCTTTCAATTACGTTTAAATCGTAATTGAATTTTTCTAAGACTATTATTCGCTTCATTCGAACGCAAATTATTACAATTTTAGATTCATCTAAAGTCATTCCTTAAAATATATGACTATAAAGTTTGTTAGAAAGATCTGAAAGATTATTTATACATTTATAAATTTATATATAGATATAATATACGAATTTTTTAAATTTATACTATAAAAAAGATCTGAAGAAAAACAAGAAAATACAGTATTATCAAGATGCAATTTTTAAACTTAAAACATGTTAACTATCATGTTATTCATCCGTGACCGCCGCTAAAACATGTAAAACTTGCTGCATGACAGTCAATGTGTTGATTTAGAAAAAATGAAAACAAGATATTATTATAACATTTATCGGAAAAGAAAGTCTTAAGAAAAAAAAAGAATTTATCAAAATAAGAATGACACTTTTATATCAATATTAATCAAACATTATATCTCGAGATAGAGAAGTTATATAGACAGCATTACAGATGTTTACAATTTTTGTAGTGATTGATAACAAATTATTATTTTATTTTCAATCTTTTATATTTTAGCTATATATATATATATTTTAACTAAACGTTAAAAGTGATATAATTCCTATTTATAAAAAACGATTTTTAAGGTGCCTTTATATATAAATAATTCTTATTGCCTTATTAATACTGAGAGATTCACATTAAACTTTGAATAAAAGAAAAAACTCTGTAATGCTATTTATATATCTTATCTTAATTGTTATTAATAAGATTTGATATATATCTAACTTAATTAACCGAAGTGTTCTTGTATCATTATAGAGCAGAAAAAAAATACCCGTGTAAATAGTAGAGTTTATTAACAAGATAATTATTGCGATAATAGTAGTCATCATTTTTTTTAAAACTTTACTGTTAGAATTATATTTAAAAAAATTTAAAAAAAAC